GCAGAGGGGAGGGAGGCACAGCCGCGTCTCCCGGCCCTCCACCCTGGTTTTATCGGTGCGTAAATCCTATTTGTGTCGCTTTCACTCCTGTGCCAGGCAGTCTTAAAACCCACCACCTTTTCTTTTGGTTCCCTGTGCTTCCAGCCCCGGCTCCTGCTGGGCCCTCCCGCCGGGTCTCAAGATGGGGAACCGAGCAGGGGGCTCAGTGCCCCCCGGGAGCTGGGATGGCTGCGGGCAGGTGCCTGGCACCTGCATCTCGCCGCCGGCAGCATCCCGGGCTTCGTCTTTCCTCTCCTGCCCTCCATCGGAGGGAAGCAGCATTCGCCGGCCGCAGCGTGGGGCCAGGGGGAGAGACCGGCCCCCCGGGCGCCCCGAGGCCCTCCGAGTTTCCGGGACTTCCGCTCGCCCCGCCCGGCGCGGGAGTGGGGACGGGGCCGCCTCCTAATCCCGGCGTAATTCCGGAGAGCGGCAGCAGAGCGGGCGGCCGCTAATCCCGGCCCGCCGCCGCTAATCCCGGCCCGTGGCCGTGGGTCCCTGCCCGAGTCCCCGCGGGGCGGGGGCGAAGTCCCCTCCCCAGAGCGTGCGGTGGGGTCCCGGGTCGAAGCCCCGGCTCTCAGGGGACGTAAATCTGTTAATGACCTGACTCGGTCATTAACCCGCTGCTTGCCCGGCGGGCGGCGGCGCGGGAAGGGGCGGGGGCCGCTCTCGGGTGGGCGCTGCCGGCCCGGTGCTCCCGCAGCACCCCCAGGCTTCTGCACCCCCTCTCCGGTCCGCCAGCCTCGCACCTCCCCGACTCTTTTTTGGGGTGACATCGTTGCCGGCTTTTTCTGTGCTCCCAGGAGCAGCGCGGCCGGCGGTGCCGTGAGAGGGGTCCCCTCAAACACCCTCCAGGGAAGGCTGGGGCGGCTGCGGGACGTGTCCTGCATCACGGGGAGCTCCGGGGGGGCGCCTCGGGGTTGTTCCCTCCCAGCCGGCTGCAAGCCAAGTTCAGTGCGGCGTGGCCGGGGAGAGCGTAATGGGGGTCGGTCCCGCCAATACCGTACCCCAGTCAGCAATGCTCCGGCTCGCTGGCTGCCAGAGCTCAGCCGCCGATGCACCGTGTAACACGGGTCGCTTTGCCACTCTCTCCGGTTTTTTGGTGGTTTTTTTTTTGTTGTTTTTTCCTTTTTTTTTTTTGTTTTGTTTTGTTTTGTTTTCTCGGCCTCTTTATCTTTCAATTGCAAAGCAATTAAAGGTTTATATGAATCTGCGAGCATCCCTCCCCGCGGGGCCCTCTGATGCCCGCTGTATTGCCCTTTAGATGCCTCTTCCTTTTTTTGTTTTACAATTGTTGTATCAATATAATGCTTCCTTTCTTCCTCTGTCTCTATAGATACAGATATACAAGGCAAACCAAAGGTTTCGGCTGCTATTCAGTGCCTCCTCATTTGTCCCAGAGCCGTAACAGTGGTGCCCTTTCTCTTCTGGCTGCTTTTCCCTGCTTCTGGAGCAGCAGTTATGGGAGAAGCAGATGGCTACTGATTGGGTGAGCTTTGTGGCTTTAATACTGAATACTTTATGGAAAAGGACTTTATCATGCTTGGTTGGTCAGAGGAACAACGGGATGAGATTTATGACTAGAGAAAATAAATCTTTTTAAGTTTCAGGCTCCTTCACACACCCCACGTCAAGTTGCTGCAGCAGAGCTGGAGCTGAAATCCTCTGCATCTTTATTTTTTTCCCTCCCCCCCGCCCCGTCTGTCTGTCCTTTCACTGCTCTCCCCACCCCCTCTGCGCCAGGCTTTAGCAAACCTTTCCTAACTTTAGGGACTGTCACTCGCTGCAGAGGCCAAGGCCTCCAGAGCCCCCGGGCAGCAGCAGGAGGGGAGAGGCCATCCCTGCAGGAGGATTATCCACCTGAGGGAATATGCTGGGCACTCAGCTCCTGCCGTGCGGAACTCAGCGGCCACCCAGGGTCCGGCGGGGAGCTGTGAGTGACGTCCTCACGGACCGGCAGCAGAGAACTCCTGTGGCCACCAAAAAGACGTGCAGCCCACCACTCTGAGCTCAGGTGTCCCGAGGAGACGGAGCCCAGCACTGCCCCACCCCACGTCGGTCCCAGCATGGGGCGTGCTGGTGGCACACAGGGACAGAAAGGCCCAAGGGCGTACAGGAGGCAGAGGCAGATTTCAGTCCTGCAGGGATTCCCCTTCTTCCATTTCTCTCCCTTTTCTGTCCTTCGTAGCCAATCATGTCTTCTGTCAGGCTGTTAAATGTTTAAAGGAAGGTGAAGCTAGGTGAAAAGATTTCCAGGTTTTAAACCTTGATGCTGCTGTCAGGCCAAGAAAGAAGGAGAAGCAGAAAGCCCGAGAAAAATAATTCTGAAATAGAAAGTCAGCAGTGATAGAGGGCTATGTATCAACCGTTTAACCAGCCACCTGTATTATGTTCAGTGGTCTAAGGTTATAGGTAATAAAAAGAATTCCTGTGACTCTTTGGTGAATATGCAAATTAATATTTCTAACCAGACTCTGTGTTTGCTCAGAAGAAAGTAGAAGGGAAGTTCAGGCACAATTAGGGATGAAGAAAGAGCCAAGATGCCTGTGGTGTATCTGAACCATGAGAAGGCAGGTAGGGAAAGTATGTCAGCTTCCTGGGGAGCAGGAGCATTGGCTCCTTGGGGTGAACCACAGCTAAAGGTGGTATCTGGCCCTTTTTAGGGATTTGTGGCATTACAGTGACCTGATCCGGGGATCCAGAACCAGTGAGGTGGGGCTGAAGGGTCAGAGGGAATAGGAAGGGACAGGCATCCTCAGGTGTGTTTGGGAGCTGGGCTGGAAACAAGAGAGAGCACTGGTGGTGTGCCTCAGCCCTGGCAGGGACCTGGAGATAGGCAAACATTCATCTGGATGTGGGTCTGAGGACTCCCAGTGGGCTCCCCATGCAGAATGAGCAGTGGGGGAAGCGCCCCTCCTCTCTGTGCCCCGTGTCTGTAGCATGATGGGATGTCTCTGGCACCCCAGCACAGGGCTTCCCCAGGAAAGGCGCCATCCATGAGCCTGGTGACAAGCAGAAAGGATGGTTTCAGTCATTCAGCTGAGGCACTGATTTATTTCCACTACAGAGGCCTGTCTGTCTCCAGGGAAGGGAACCGTTCTGGCTGCGTTTCTCCAGGCACCAGGAAAGCTTGCGGCTCCACATTTCGTTTTAAGTGGATTTTTCATTCCACCTGGTGTGCACCTTCTGGGGACCACAGCTGGCCCTGCCCCTGGCAGCAGCAGGCAGAGAGGGTAGCAGGGCAGTTCAGAGCATCCTTTTGTGCCCCCTCCTCACAGTGCCCTGGCCCCGCAGGACTGAGTGTGGCTGGACTTGTGTGCCTCTGGGAACTCGTGTGTTCTCTCAGTGATTTTATTTTATGAGTGATTTTATTGCAGTCACCTGGGAGCTGACTCTCAGCTGTGTGTCTCCTCACGGGAGTAACCACACACCCGTAGGCCTGGCGCATGCCACGACTCAGGCAGTGTTTCCCAAAGGATGCGGGAGTGTTTCTGAGCACAGGTTGAGCAGCCTTTCCTGGTCCCTCTCCTCTCCCCTTCCTGCGTGAAGGTCAGGGAGGAAAGAAAAGACTGACACTCCTGGGAGCAGGTTCTCTGTCCCTTGCAGCCGTCCCCACACTAACTCATTGCGGGCAGAAGAGGGTTATCACGGTGGTTAGTGATAACGGTGTCCAAGCATCCAGGCATCCCCACTCTGCCAGCCCTGCAGCCACCTGAATCTCCACCAGGTCCCCACCCTGGCTTCTGCAGGGATTTGGCCAGCCCAGCCCCTTGTGAGCTCGGGTCCCGGGCTTGTCCGCTGCTCCTGGGGCTCCCCTCGCCCGAGAGCTCGTCCTGCCGAGCTGGTGCCGTCGAGAGGGGCTCGGCCGAGCAGGGCTGTGCTTTTGGAGGGCGGGGAGTGGCGGGGGTTTGCCGGCTGCGGGGGTCCCTGGGAAAGCGGCCGGAACTCCTCAGCCCGGGTGGTCCCTGGCCCTCCGCAAGAGATTTTCTGGAAAAACAAGCGAATAGGAAATACATGGATGGACCGAGATAGGTAGGAGCGTGCGGCAGCCGGGCGGCGGCGGGCAGCGATCGCACGGCCCCGCTGGGTGACACCGCGCTCGCTGGCAGCGCGGCGGGGACAGGATCGGGCCCGGCGCACCTGCCCCGTGTCCCCCAGAAATCCCGGTGAGGCATTTCCAGGAGGCCGGGAGAGCGCCGCCGGCGCCAGGCTTTGCGGGGTTTGCGGTGGGCGCACCCCCCAGCAGAAACTCCAAAAGAAAGAGCCCGCGGCCGTCCCAAAGCCGTTCTGCAGGTCGAAGGACGCTGTTCCCTGGGATCCCCTTTTAGAGTGGCATCAGAGACTGGATAAAAGCTCGGAAATTCCTGCGCCGTCCTTTCCAGTCCCAGGGAATTTCGGTGGCTTGGATCACGCCGAAGCGATTTCGAGATCGTATATGTGCTGTGGTGTCCCTTAAAATTCTCGCGAATAAAATCAGCGCGTAGGTTTTCTTTCCCCCCACTAATGACAGTCATTCGGACAATTTATATCTTACAGCGAGAGCTGCAGCACTGACGAAAAAAAAAAAAGGAAAAAGAAACAGGAATAGGGAAAAAAAAAAACCAACACCACATTTGAAGCAGGAATTGACATCCAAATTTTTAGACTCCCATATTTTTAATGTTATGAGAATCTCCCTTTTAGGAGACGCTGCGTTTTGTCGAATTAATAAGATAAATGTTGAAAGCATATTATATGCAGCCTTTAATCCTAATGCAAGGAAAATCGTAATTATGTGGAGGATAAGTGAATTTGAAAGCCAAACATCAGCCCACTCTCTGCAAACCCCGCTCTGTCCGCCCCTGGAAAACGCTTTGTCTCTCTCTCTCTCTCTCTCTCTCTTTTATTTTTTTTTTTAGTTTAAGGGGTTTCAAATTCTATTTTTAATTATTCTTTTTCTTTTTTTAATCTGTTTTGTGTCTGAAATGACGACGATCAGGGAGGGACCGGTAAACACTGTTCCACGCGATAAACCCCTTATTTCGGCACAGAGCATCCGCGCCTCTCTGTTCCCCGAAGCTGCGCGCGTGTCGGTGAACGCGGGAGCCCCGCGTGTGCAGGGGGAGAGCCCGTGGCCGCCCCCCGCCCCGGAGCGGCTCGGAATGGGCGGGGGGCTCCGGCCGGGGCTGCCCCTGCCCCGCTCCGGCGGGGAGCGTGGGGCTGCCCGGTGCCGCTTCTCCGCACGCCGGGCCTTCGCCGGCCGCCGGCAGCGCAGGAGGGCCGCTCCACTCCGCGGAGCCGGGCACGGGCATCCCCACTCGGCTCCGTCCCGCCGAGGAGGTTTTTTTCCTGCGTGTCCGATTGCCCCTACCTGGCAGGTGCGGGGACAGGGCGGGAAGGCGTCGCCGGGATCCCGGCGCCGGGCGGAGCGGCCGTCGGGCACCCCCGCTCCCCGCCCCGCATCCCCGCCGGGCCGAAGCGGAGCCGCGGCCCCAAACACGCTCCCTGCCCCGGCAGAAGGTCGGTGGGGGAAGGCGCCCCGCGTTTCCCACCCCCTTCCCCGGTGGTGCCCGGTGGCGGCAGGTCCAGGTGAGGGGCGGGCGGGCGGCGAGCGGGCAGCCCCGAAGGGGTTAACGGGAGGGACGTGGGCTGTCACGCGTCATTGGGCAGATTATGTGCAGCAAACAAAAAGTGTGTGTCTGCGTGCCAGCCCCTCACTGCACCGGGTCCGTCTGCACCGCGCGCCTCCCGCTCCGCCGCCCGCACGGCCCGGCCCGGCATGGAGCGGCGCTGAGAGCCCGAGGCAGCCAGCCCGAAGCCGCCTTTGTGCCACTGTCGGGGCGAGGATTATCCCCACCGTCCCTGGTGAGTACCGGCGGAGGGGCCCCGCCGCCCCGGAGCGGGAACAATGCCGGGGATGGCCGTGCTGCCGGCGGGCCTGCCCGGGCTGCGGGGACCGGCGGGGGAGCCTCCGGGAGCGGCCCCGGCGCCGCCCGGCCCGGACAAAGGGCGGCCGGGGGGAGGCAGCGCCGGGGGGCCGGGGGCGGCCCGGGGAGCCGGGGAGATGCGGCCCCGTGGGGAGCCGTAAGGGGCTCGCCGCCGCCGGGAGGAAAGTTCGGCGGGGGCCCCTCGCCGCCGGTGGTTTCGTTTGGCGAAATCGTTCCTTCGGGGAAGGGATGCGCCGGGCAGCGGCGGAACGGGGAGGGCGCCGGGGAGGCGGCCGGAGCGCCTTCCCCCCCGGCCTCCGTTCCCGGGGAGGGGCCGGGACCCCCGCCGCCGCTCTGGGAGGGGGTGAAGTTCCCGGCGGTGCGGGTCGTACCCCGAAATCGCGAGGGGAGCGGCGGCTCGGCGGAGCCCTGCCCGGTGCGAGCGGCGGCAGCCGTCAGCAGGCGCACCGGGAGGAGCACCGGTCTTTTCCCGAGCCAGCCCCAAATGACGGATTTCGATGGCAGATGGGGCGGGGGGAGGCAGCCGTGCGCTAATCTGGTCGGGAAGGGCGAGGGCACCGCAGCCGGGCGCGATGCTCCCTCCCCGGCCTCAGCGGCGCCGCCGGCCCCGCACCCTGCCCGCTGCCCGCGCCCCGCCAGCTGCCCGCCGCCCGCATCCCTCCCCTCGTAACGCGCGGCAGCCGGGGCTCTCACCCTGCTCCATAAATAAGCGTGTCGAGGTAAAAATAATTACCTCTGCTTGCTGCTTTTAATTAAAGTCTCGGAGGGAAAGTGCTGGATTATGATAATGAGCAGCCATACGTTCCCCTTGTCGCGCGGAGCGGGAGGTGAGCTGACACGCAATCGGCGACAATGACAAGCCGCTGGAACCCACCCGCTCCCCCGGCGTAGCCCGCAGCCCGGCCCGGCGCCGGGGATTGCACGAGGGAGACCCGGCGCCCGCTCGGGACAGGACATGGCCGGTGGGATTCCCGGGTCCCTGCTCAGAACCAGCTCCGCCGCGATATCTAAAAAAAAAATAAATCGGCGCGGCAGAGTCCCCGCATCCCGCCTCTGCTCGCAGCTCCGAGCCTGCTTTAAATTTTTTTCAAACCGGAGAAACTGCAGGCCTGCTTTTTTTTGTCTTTCTATCTTTCTATCTAATTTTAAAAAATAATTTTGGAGGTTTTATCGTAATGTTTTATTTATTAATTCAAGTCGATTTTATTTTGTTTTCCGGGGCATCCCGGTGTACCGCTGAGCGGGACACGCTGCGGTAACGGGGCCCCTCTCTGCCCCTCTCTCCGCCCGCAGGGATGGAGGACGCCGGCGTCCAGCGGGGAATATGGGACGGGGATGCCAAGACGGTCCAGCAGTGCTTGACTGACATTTTTACCAGTGTTTACACCACCTGCGACATCCCGGAAAATGCCATCTTCGGCCCCTGCGTCCTGAGCCACACGTCCCTGTATGACAGCATCGCCTTTATCGCCCTCAAGTCCACCGACAAGCGCACCGTCCCCTACATATTCCGGGTAAGAGCCGCTCGTCCCCGAGCCCAGCCGCTCGCCACACCGGCCGGTGCCCGCACGCGTCCCCGCCGCGGAGCGCAGGTCGGCCCGGGGAGCCCCCGGCGCCGGGAGGCTGTCCCCGAGGGCAGAGCCGCGCCGCAGCCGCCGCTCCTACTGCTGCCTGGCCCCGTGCTGTCGGTCCGTGGGTCGGTCTGTCTTTCGGTCCGGTGGATTGATTACCGCGGGTTTTCAGGTGGACACGTCGGCGGCCAACGGCTCGTCGGAGGGGCTGATGTGGCTGCGGCTGGTGCAGTCGGCGAGGGAGCGGGAGGAGCAGAACCTGGAGGCCTACATCAAGAGCGGGCAGCTATTTTATCGCTCCCTGCGCCGCATCGCCAAGGACGAGGAGCTGCTGGTGTGGTACGGCAAGGAGCTCACCGAGCTGCTGCTGCTCGGCCCGGCCCGGGCCCCCGCCCGCACCAACGGTGGGTGCCCCGGGCGGGAGGAAGGAGGGGGATCCCTGCGGCCGGGGGGAATCGGGAGGCGGTGGAGGGCTTTGGGATCCCCCGCTCCTGATTCCCAAACTCTCGGCGAACATCCCGTCGGTGGCTCCGGCTAACGGTGTGTTTCTCTCCCTCTCTCTCTGTGTCTGTCTATCGTGCTCACCCGACGCAGGCTCGCCGCCCTTCGCCTGCCCCGAGTGCAGCCAGCGCTTCCAGTTCGAACTGCCCTTCGCCGCACACCTCCGGTTCCGCTGCCCCAAGAGGCTGCACGGCCCCGACATCGGCCCCGCCGCCGAGGCCGCCGCCGCCAAGGACGGCGCCGGCAAGGAGCAGGAGCCCGGCAAGTTCGGGAAGCCCGGCGGGCCTCCGCACCACCCCTTCCCCGGGCCCGACGGCGGCCCTGCCGCCAGCACCAAGCCCTCCACGGACTTCCACAACCTGGCGCGGGAGCTGGAGAACTCCCGCGGCGGGCGCGCCGGCTCCCCGGGGCGGCCGGCGCCGCCCGAGGGCGGCCCTGAGGCGGCGGCCGGGAAGGCGAAGCGGCGCTTCCCCGAGGAGGAGGAGCGCGGGCCCGGCGCGGCGCGGGGCCGCTTCCCGGCGGAGCGGCCAGGGCTGCCGGCGGCGCCCAAGGAGGAGCCGGGCTGCGCCCCGCAGCAGCAGTACCGCGCCGCCGGCTCCTACTGCGGGCTGGAGGAGGGCGGGCGCCTCTTCGCGCCGCCCAGCCCGGAGACCGGCGAGGCCAAGCGCAGCGCCTTCGTGGAGGTGAAGAAGGCGGCCCGCGGCCCCGAGCCCGACGGCGGCCCCGAAGAGGGCCCGGAGCGCGGCTCGCCGGGAGCGGGCGGCGCGGAGCCGGGGCTGTGCCCCCGCGGCGGCGCGGGGGGTCCGCTGGCCGCCCGCCTGGACGGCGGCAGCCCGGCGCGGGGGAGCGCCTTTAGCACGGTGCCGCAGCTCGGGGCCGGCCCCGGCGGGCCCGGCGGCGGCGGCGGCGCCGACGAGAGGAAAAGCGCCTTCTCGCAGCCCGCCCGCTCCTTCCCGCACGTCCCGCCGCTGGTGCTGGGTCCCAAGCTGGGCGGGCTGGGCGAGCCCTGCCCCGACGGCGCCGCCGCCCCCGCCCGCCTGTACGCCGCCGAGGCGCTGGCCGCCAAGCTGCCGGGCGGCGGGGAGGCGGCGGGCGGCGGCGGCGGCGGCGGGGGGCTGCCCAAGCAAAGCCCCTTCCTCTACACCACGGCCTTCTGGCCCAAGAGCTCGGCGGCGGCGGCGGTGGCGGCGGCGGCGGCGGGGCCGCTGCAGCTGCAGCTGCCGTCGGCGCTGACGCTGCTGCCGCCGTCGTTCACCTCGCTGTGCCTGCCGGCTCAGAACTGGTGCGCCAAGTGCAACGCGTCCTTCCGCATGACCTCGGACCTGGTCTACCACATGCGCTCCCACCACAAGAAGGAGTACGCGCTGGAGCCCCTCGTCAAGCGCCGCCGCGAGGAGAAGCTCAAGTGCCCCATCTGCAACGAGTCCTTCCGCGAGCGCCACCACCTCTCCCGCCACATGACCTCCCACAACTAGCGGGGACACCCCCGTCCCGGCCCCGGGAACACGCCCGGGACCCCCGCGCCGGGGACACCCGCGCCGCCCGCCTCTCCCACCCTTCCCCTTCGATGCACGCGTTTCCACAGTCCGGGGAGGGGCGGGGAGGGCAGCGGGTGAGAAGGATGAGAAGGTGAAGAAGAAGAAGCAGAAAAATGAAGGTAAAAGAGAAAAAAAAAAAAAAAAACAAAAGAGAGAGAGAGAGAGAGAGAAAAGAGAATCACCGGGAAAAAGAAAAAAAATTACTTAAAAAATACATTTTTTAAAATGTCATATATTGCAACATATTGATGCATTTGTCATACGTTTCTACTTAAATTATTAAGCACTTATGGTTTAGATGTAATAATAATTCTATGTCAGGGTAAATTTTTATTTTGGATATGAAGCTAAGGGCGAGGGGAGCGCGGCGGGGCCGGCGGGCGGCGGGCCGGGGTCCTGCATGCACCGGGCGCTACCCCCGTCCGGCCCCGCCGCCCGCGCCCCTTCCCCCCGAGTGTCACTGGTGCCCGTGGAATGGAGTCTCGGTAGTTCCGTGTTTACCTTCCCTTTCCCGTTTGGGTTTGAGTTTTGGTTTGTCTTTTTTTTTTCCTCGCCCCTCTGGACAAAAAAAAAAAAAACAACAAAAAAAGATTTATTAAACTTTATAGTTTATCCGGGTATGTTGGATGCTTTGACAATAAATGACTTTATTTTCTTCAAAGCACCTGGACGTTAATCGATGCGGGGGAGTGGGCGGTGACGAAGGGGTGGCGAAGGGGTGGCAATGGGGTCCCCATCGGGCCGCAGGGAAGGGCAGGAAAGCCCGACCACGCCGCCTGTTCTCTGTGCTCTCCTTCCCCGCTCCCCTGCCTCCCTCCCTTCGGCCCCTCCGACATGTGTCCGTCCTTCCTCTGTGCGTCTTTGCTTTCGTCCGGCATTTTATTCAGCCTTTATCTCTCTCCTTCATTCTGTCTTTCCCTTCCATTCCTCTCCCCTTCGTCTTTTGGGTTGTCTTTATTTTCTTTCATTTTACCTTTCTTTTTATTTCTGTCTTTCTGTGTTTTGCTATTTTCCCACCTCCCCTCTTCCAGCAGCCCGTATTGCCCCCGACCCTTGCCACGGCTGTGGGTGGTCGCGGGCTCGCAGGGTGGGCACAGCCACGGAGGCGGCCCGGAGGTTGTCTGGGGTGACAGGACCCAGGGGAGCCCCCAGCCCGCAGTGTCGTGGGGTAGGGAGCGCTTGAAGGGGCCAGGGGTGGGTCCCCTCTGTCCTGGTGCATTACCGGGGTGATGGCATCGCAGCCAGGGGCACCCGGGAGGGCCAAGACAAGGGGGACGCTCCCGGGCAGGGGTGCACAGCCTGCGGCGGGTGCGTTCAGTACCAGCCCCGCTCTGGGGGGCACGGGGGGGCACCGGGGCACGCACAGCCCGGGGATGTGCAGGAAACCCATTTCCACACACAGGCTGCCGTCACCCCCGCACCGACGCTGTGCCAGGTCACTGGTAGGGAAAATACCCCAAAGCCGGAGCTGTGCAAAGCTGGAGCCCACAGTGTCACATCAATGGGGTCCAGGTGCCACCGGCGTCGGCGGCCGTGGGGTTTGGGGTTGCACGGGGTACCCGTGATGCAGCTTCCCGCTGGTGTTGCTCGCTCTCTCAGAGCGCTGACTCCAGCACCCCGGTACCAATAACCCCCAAGCCACGCCGGGATCCGGAGCGGCCCCCTGCTCTCATTCCTTGCCTCTGGAATACACAAAGCCTCACCTGCCGCCGTTAATTGGGGGGGCGAGACACTGATTATCCCGTGGATTTTCCCTAAGAAGCGGTGCCACCCCTGCGCGTCCCGCTTTTGAGGGTTCCCCGGGATGCTCCCCCGGGCTCCGGGGGATGCGGGCGGGCTGCGGGGATGCCGGGGGCGGCAGCGGCGGGTGGGCACCGCCACCTAGCGGGGCAGCCGCGGGGCTAGCGGCTGTGCTCCGGGCCCCGGCGGGCTCCTTCCCCCGGGGATGGTGCGCAGGGCTCCTCTGCCGCCGCAGCTTCGCCTCTCCGGCTGCCCCGGGCCGGCTTCGGGGCCGGCTCCCTCCCGCAGCCGGGGAGGTTCTCAGCGGCGGTGCTGGTTATGCTCTGCCTGGCTCCCTGCGCTTGTCCGGGTGCTGCTGCTGGAGGGATGGTGCTGCCCCTGCACGAAGGCGCACTCGGGAACCCAGCACACACCCGCAGGTTTCACAGCCTCCTCCATCTACCCCAAACATTGTATGGCTGTTCACAGCCGTGTGGTGTGCTGTGCCCCTGCCCTGGCAGCCTCCTGCAGCACCGTGCCTTCTGTGCGTTCCTTGGGACTCTCTCAGAAGGCACTCTGCTAAACCCCAGGACTTCTCCCACTGGCGTTGGATCCGGGGTTGCAGTCAGCCCCCTAAAAGCACTGTTAGACAGGGCACACGTGGTGCAGCAGGTGCCTGCATTGTTACTGCCACACAAAGCTCACGCTGTTTCTGTCTAAAAGCACAAAAATCTACAGGCTAGGGAATTTAATCCAAGACTTTGTTTTGGTGAAATCGGATATCGAACTCCAAAGTGATAAATCAAACTCCAGCTGATGCTTCCTGCACAAGCAGAACGTGCTGTAATAAGGGCAGGCAGTGCCCATGATCCTGAAGAGTCGGGTGTTGTATGGAGAGGGTTCCCCTTGGGCTTTTTGGGATCAGGGCTTGGCCACAGCACGTTCCTCGTTCCCCAGAGCCATGCTGGCTCTCCTCAGGTCAGCAAGGGTACGATTGCCACATACTGCTCCTTTGTCATCATTTCTGCTGCTTGGGAAACAGGAAGAGAATTTTTTTCTTTTCATTTTTTCTTTGTTTTTTTTCTTTAAATGTCTTTCCCTGTCCGCAGTTGATGCTGTGCTGTGTCTCTGCACAGCACAGAAGCTGGCTGGGCTGTGGCACCAGCTGGCTTTCCCCCATGCAGGGTCCTCACCCGACATCACAGCCCAGAAAATTCCCTTCTGGGGCATCGCCTGGGCATTTCTCTGGGAGAGAGCTGCCCCTATAAGCCTCTGCCAGAGCCCACAGATGCATTTGCCTCTGAAACCCACTCACAAGGGGCATCTTTGATGTGCTGCAGAGGAACAGCAAGTAGGAGCCAGGAGTAAGGATGAGCAGCCTTCAGATTTGGGGAGCCCCTTCCCTGTGCCCTGTAGCCCTTAGACTGCTCCATCTTCCCTGTAGCTGGGCCACGCTGCAAATCACAACAGTGGTAATAATTCAACAAATCCTGATATCAGTGCTGTTCCTGGAGAGCAGAAGGCAGCTTTGCACCCACAGAGGTTTCTGTTTGAAGGCAGCCACGGGCAGCAGACCCACAGTCTGCGCACTTTGGGCTGGAGCTGGAGCTAGCTGCCTGCCTGGGGGGCCTGATCCCCTCCTGCCCGAGCCAGCAGGAGCTGTGCCTGGGTAGGTTTGGGAATGGATTAGCACTGGGCACCTGAACTGCTCGCCAGCCAGTGTGGGCACGGGCTGTGCAGAATGTCATGTGGATTGTGTCCCTTAGGTCTGGAGAGAGGTGCACAGGCGAGGCTCTCCTAACCCCTGAGCATCCTCACAGCCAGCCTGCAGAGGCCACCCCAAAATCTGTGTGTTGGGTTTTGTGCTGTGTGTGAAGGTGCCGAGCGGCGTGCCGGACAGACAGACATCTGCTGCCACTGCTGTGAGGAGGCCGAGCTCCTCTGTGTGCAGTGCCCATCTCCAGCTAAGCTCTCACTGGTTACGTTTGGAAAATCAGCTGCTAGGATTTCACTGCAACACCGAGCTCTGGAAAACACTTTGTTCAGCTGTGGGTGTCTAGGAAAGGCTGAAGCGGTTTCCTTGTTTGAAAATTCCATGAACTGTACGGTATTCCTTCTCTGCTTTCCCTGCTGCTAAGGGCAGATTTGGAGTGGGGAAAGACCCGGCCCAGTACAGAACGTGTTGATGGTGTGCTTAGAAAAAAGACAAACAAAAACGAAAACGCAGGGGGCGATGTTTCTGTGAGATACGCTGCTGTCCTGCAGAATGATGGAATGCCTGAGTGCTCTGAGCTTTATTTAAAGACATAGTGCTTTTCACTAGTTAGAATTCTTTTCTATCCTTATCCTGGTGGCTTGTGAGGTGGCTTCTGAGTGATCTCGGTGACATTCGTGCCCGTGGGGCATGTTAACCACTTGCACCTGTGCTTTCCCCACCACCTGAAGGTAATAATCATCCTAATTACGTAAGAGGAGGGCAATCATCTCAATTGAATTCACCTGTTCTAATGCACGCCCTCCCTCCTGGTAACAGGTTTGGACGATCATCCTAATTAAATTACCCTTTTTTAATGCACCTCCTCCTGGTGGAGTGTTTGGTTCTGCAAAGCTCCTGACTCAGCTGCGGTTCTCCGTGTTTCAGGAGAGGGGACACTTCCAGAGGGATGTGCAGGGGGACCTGGGGACCAGCCACCCGCCTTTGACAGTCATGAGTCTCCTTCAGGCACATCCTCGTTGCAGGGGTTTTGTTTCCAGGCTCTGCTGGCCGGTCTCATGTCTCCCCATGCTTTGCCTGGCATATTTTTAAGTGGCAATTTAGCAGTACCAGGCTGACATGGGGAGGGGGGAGCGCTCCTGCGGTGCAGCTCGCAGGCCCGGTGCTCTGCAGCAGATCAAACAGGCTCAGAAGAGTCCTTCTCATCTTCAGTCGGGGAATTTTACACTTGAAACACAGCTTTGCCTCCCCATTTGCTGAGTTTCCTCTGTAACCGAGCCCTGAATAATTTAAATAACATAACATCAGCATTAGGCTTCTGAAGCTGCTGGTGTGTGTGAGTGAGGGTTGCTGCTGCCAAAGGCGATTACACACAATTGCTCTGGGAAGTTCACTATTACGTCTGCTTATTTATTTAGGTTTAAACCTCGTGTTTGGTTTGTTGTTATGTTGGTGTTCTTTGGGGTTTTTTTTGAACTGTGCTACAGGAGTGCCTGGAGTGTTTGAAACGGGTCTGTTGGGCAGGGGAAGAATTGAGAAGCACCCAGAACCACACAGCGCTGTTGTGAGCTCTGAAGTGTCACAGTGAGGATGAAAACACACCTTGTGCTATGGGGACTTGTGACAGTCTCTTCTCCACAGTGAGGGTGGTTGGGTGTTGCTCTGAGGGGCACAAGGGAGTCCCCAGAGAAGGGGATGCTGT